TTTTAAAAGATAAGAAAATTTGACAGTTTTATACAAAACTTAAAATTCTTCATAAAAGTGTTCGAATTAGAAGAATTTCTTGTAAATTTTTTTTATTTTTAATTTATTTGTTTTTTAAATTTTATTTCGATTTTGTATTTTTTTAACTGTTTGTAACTTTTTAAAAATTTTGGGATATTTTTTTGTAAATTTTTCTGTAATTTTTGCTAATTTTTCCGTGAAGAAAACACAAATATAATTTTATTTCTGTTTTCTTCTCAGACCATAGAAATTGCACAAAATGCTTTCCATCTTCAAAAAGACACAAATTTTATTTTTGTGAACACGAAAAAATCTTTTTTATTCTAAAAAAAAAATCAATTTTCTTTTTCTAAAAATGTAACTTTTATGTAGAAAAACATTATTTTAAAAATTACAATTTTTGTGTCTTAAAAAAATTTTCCCCCAGAAAACACAATTTTGTGTGTTTTAAAAAAAGCAAATTTTTCTCTCGAGAAATTACAATTTTTCTCTAATAAATTACAATTTTGTCGCTTTAAGAAAACGCAAATTCTTGTCAGAAAAATCGGTTTTTGCGGCTTTAAAAAAACGCAATTCCTGTCTCTAAAAATTATAAATTTTGTCTCAAAAAATACAGTTTTGCTTTTTTAAAAAATACAATTTGTCTCAAAAAATTACAATTTTGTCGCTTTAATAAAACGCACGTTCTTCGTCCGAAGAAAATGCATTTTTTCCGGAAAATCGCAAGTTTGTCTTAAAAAACGCAACGTTTGCCCGGAGAAAATACGACTTTTGTTAGAAAAAAATACAATTTTTCTCTCTTTAAAAAATCGCAAATTTTTCTCTCAAGAAAAAGAAAACAATCTTTTGCCTCCAGAAATTCCAATTTTGACTTTTTAATAAATCGCAAAACGATTTTAATTAATTTTCTATAAAATACAAAAATCCTTTAAAACTGGAAGAATTTTAACGCCTTTAATTTATTTAATAGCGCGTAATTTTTATTTAATTTTAATTTTTTTTTAAATTAAATTGCATTAATTAGATTACATTTTAATTATATTTACATTTTAAGTAAGTAAATAAACACGGTTAAAATATATTTAATTATTTGTAAAAATCATTTTTTAGAATAGATAATTAATTACGATTTTTTTTTTCTTCGGGCATTAAACCAAATTAATTATTGATAAAATAAATAAATAATTTGTTATTTTATAAGAAAATAAAAATACAAGTCGACAATTTTTATTTACTTTTATTTTCGGTGTGAAAAGTTTATTTAAAAATGATCAAAACGAATTATACGAGTTACGCAAATTTCTTTTATTTAAAATATTTACTTTTCTACGTTGTGTAAGGGGAAGAATTGCGATAAAAGAGGAATTTTACAAGAGAATCTTCGAATTTCTCCAACAAATACGTAAAAATTGGTGAGAAAGTGCTCAAAATGTCCTCATCTTTTCTCCACAATTCTAATGCATCTTGGAAATTGCTTCAATTTAAAATAAAAATCCTCTGAATTTCTGCAAAAACTTAATAAAATGTTGCAATTGTATAATTAAGATGTCGAGAAAATGCCCGAAATTTATAGTTTTAATTTTAAAAGTCAAATAAATATGGAAAAATTGTGAAAAAATCCCCAAATTTTCCGTTACAAATTAAAGTGAAATCTTAAATATATTAAAGGTTTATTGAGATAGAGAAAATTATTTTTTTTTCTGCGAATAAATGTGTTATTTTAGTGAAAATATTTGAATTTTTTAAAAATAAAATTCAATTTTTTTTCTTATTTTTCTATTTTAAAAGTATTGTTTTGATCGGAGAAAACGTATCTGTTTCCTCGAAAGAATTTCAATTTTCTCGAATAAAATCTATACTTTTAAAACGTTTTTTTGCATAAATTTACAATTTTTTTAGATATAAATTACTCTTTTTGTAGAAAATTGTTTTTTACGTAAGATTTCCCGATAAAAGCGCAAAAAACACAACAATTTTTTGCCCTTTTTATCGTACTTACACACGCGACTGCAATCATTTCCACCCAAAAATCACATTTTTCCTTCCTAATATTGCAATTTTTACATAAAAAAACATCAAAATTTGCTAATTTTTCTAACAAAATTGCCTTTTCTCGCAGTAAATAACCTTTTTTTTTGTGGGTGATTTCAATCACTTGCCGGGACTAAAATGGCCTCCTCCCTCAGGAAATTTGTGATTTTCAGAAAAAATTACACGAATTATTTAAAAATTTTTACGTAAAACCCGTTTTTGACGAGGAAATTCTTGACGTTTCATCACCGAATTCCTTAACTTCGACGTCATTACTGCTTTATAAATTAAAAAAAATGGCCAGAAAACATCCTTAAAAATGCAAATTAAAATGTTTACAGCATTATAATATTTACACAATTTTCCGGGATANATTATTATTATTATTTTATTTTTTGCTTTTCTTTGTTAGAGTTATGATTAAACAGACCGCATATACTTTATTTAGCTTTATTTGGTGGGTGGAAAGTGCAATGAAAGAAGGGGAAGTTAGATAAATCAGCATTCTCACGCACTTGGAAAACCTACCTGAAGCCGAAGTTGCGCCTTTCCTTTCTAATGAGCCTGTGGCTATACAACAAGGGAATGCCATTAACAGGTCTTTCTTCTACTTAGCCGTTGTTTTCCCCCGGTGGCTGGCCAGACTCCTATACCGTCTGATTAGCCAAGGTGAGGGAGGGAGGAAAGTGGCGGTGCCCTACTGCGATTGCGCACGCATAAAATCCCCGTGACGTCACGACGGAATCGCGAACAGGTGCACCATGTGAGCGACAATAATACGCCGACTGGATACGTCCGGACAGACACAACTCGATAGCTGTTTAGGCCTAGCTGACTTATAGTTACTTCCAGCTTCCGGCACGTAAAGAAGTCGAGTCGGCCATGAATGGTAAACAGCATATGTCTCTTCATCCTCCCATCAACACCGCCACCGGGACTTGCTTCCCTGGAAGATATTCTCCCACCTACCGCAGTGCGGATCCTATGCGGAGACATTGTATGGGAAATCCACCGGTATGTGAACATTTTTTCTCCTTTTTTAACGCTTCCCTGCCCTACGAAACTAATTACCGCGCGACACTCCACTCCGAACGAATGCACAGCCTTCGAGCTGCGCTCCTCCTTCGCTCGGCTCGCAGCTTGTCTACTTGTCCACTAAACTCGTATATTCCAGCGTACGTCGCGTAATTACGCGTGACAATAATTTATACGTCACTCGGGAGACAATTTACACCTTGGTGGCAAGTTTCAACGCGTTACGCGTGGTTAAATTCTCGAAAATGTGATAGAATTTGGCGTATTTCACTGCCTTTTGCCGCTTTTGACCTTTACCTATGGCATTTCTATTTATAGGGGAACTTATTTCCGAGTCTCGATGATACTTTAATGGGGAGAGCCGACGGTTTGACAGCTGTCGACATCAGCAAACACTCACCGAGTGGAGGTGCTACACTTCATCTAAAACACGATATGATGTACGCTCATCATCCAGGAATGGGAAGTGGACATCCCACCGCAAATAGTAGACCACACCATTCTCAAGTGAGCCATCCCGGAATGGACACCATGGATCTGTTAGATCCGTTGTGCCCCTCGTCTCTTCCTCCGCTCACCATGGCAGCGGATAACAACTCGATGAATCCCCACGGCCATCCTCAACTGCACAGTTCTATATACAGCCACAGCATGAATACCATGATGAGTTCCCATCACACTCTCTCCTCTCATCATACTTTAGCCATGCACGACGTCGACACGGATCCCAGAGAGCTGGAGGCATTCGCCGAGAGATTCAAACAGCGTCGTATCAAACTGGGAGTCACACAGGCGGATGTGGGGAAGGCACTGGCCAATCTCAAGCTACCAGGAGTCGGATCCCTGTCTCAAAGTACAATTTGCAGGTTCGAATCGTTGACCCTATCACACAACAACATGGTGGCACTCAAACCCATACTCCAAGCATGGTTAGAAGCTGCAGAAGCTCAAGCTAGAAACAAGAGAAGAGACCCGGATAGCCCCAGCGTGCTGCCAACAGGTGAGAAGAAGAGGAAGAGGACATCGATAGCGGCACCCGAAAAACGTTCTCTGGAAGCATATTTCGCCGTGCAGCCCAGACCCTCCGGTGAAAAGATAGCGGCCATTGCCGAAAAATTAGATTTGAAGAAGAACGTGGTACGAGTTTGGTTCTGTAACCAGAGACAGAAACAGAAGAGGATGAAGTACTCGGCCACCACTCATTAGTAATTCGTTAGTACAGTGTAAGGTCCCAGCCCCTTTAAACAAAACAAAAATTATATATATATACATATATATATACATATATGACGAAGCTGGGGCCGGGTCGTAAGGCCCAAACTCTGGCAAAAATTTCCGTTTCCTCGTTCCCCCTGAAGAAGAATTTGTTGTCCCACTTGTATGTGTATATATACATATATATACATATATACACATGCATATATATATATATACACACACACATACACATGAGAAAAATAAATAACACGCCCTCCCGATAGCGTGCTGTCAAAGATTCATACGGGTCAAAGTTCACAATATATGAATGAGTGAAGATATATAAATATATATAAGGAAAAAAATATAAATACATACCTTAATCCCGTTCGTATTTTAATATTATTTCTGTCCCCCCTCGGACTATAATTCTTCGAGAACGATGATGATTCCGTAGATTTGGATGCAGAGAATGGGTCTACTTAACTGTATCAGACTTTTGCCCATCTTTCCACATATTTGAACTAGAATGTCATCAGTCTGTGTATTGATCATTCCAGTATTACATTCAGTATTAATGACGTCGGCTTAACAACTGAATATTGCATGCAGGTGATTAGGGGAAGGACGACGACAGGGGGAATGTCACGTGACGTAGCTGCACGTGTCCCGTCTGACTCGTGACGAACATAGAGAAAAATCCCAACAAGATAACGATGAGGTAAGTACGTGCATTTTAATTGTTATTTTTTTAAAAAGCGACGGTTTAGGAACGTAGAAATTGTTTAAGATCGCGAGAAGATGTAAGACGAGACAGTTTTTAACTGTTTACTGAGCAAAAATTCCCGTTTCCACGTGTTTAAAACGTTAATTTTTAGCATATTTAACAAATATTTTATGTAATTTTACCGTTTTTTTAACCACGTTTACTCCCCATCTTCCACCGATCTACGCTTAAACATAAGCGAAGCCAGTACTTCGAGTGTTTCGAGCGCAATAATTCGTATTTTGGGTGTTTAAAACGTTAATTTTTAGCACATTTAAGGGTGTATTTTGTATAATATTTTTTTGTACAATAGCTTTCTTAAACCCCCACCTTACACTTATCCACATGACAAGCGGGTTTTTAAGTGTTAAAAAACGCGAAAACCTGTGTTTTTACCCGCTCGAAACCTTAATTTTTAGAGTATTTAATGTTTATTTTGTATAATTTTAGCGTTTCCGACCCCCGTTGAATCCCCCTTCCACTGATCCACGCTTGTACAGTACACTACGCTAGAAAACCTAAGAAGGTTAATGTATCATCCGTTTAATCGCTCTCAGCACTTATCACTCGTGAGGGAGGAAAAAACAAATTATTATTATTTATTTTTTTTATTTATTATTTATTTATTTAAAGAATTTACAGTAAAATATTGGAAGATAAACAAAAGTTTTCCTTCAAAATCCAGACAGTTATTTGGATAGGTATAATTAGAAATCCACGTCGAAAGTTGACATCATCAATGCTTTAAGCAATCAACTCTCTCGTAACAATCAAGAGTTTGGCACCAAATTGGTTCCCGTTTTGTTCCACAAATGAATTTGATTCTCTCGAGACAATTCGAATATACTTAAACCAACGTACGTCACCATGGGAAAGCCACGCGCGCTCCTATGCACACGTGACACGTCACGTTTGTGTCTCGTTCGTTATACACTTTGGAATTTTCTTCGTAATTAATTTGCTACAAAACTATACAAAATTTATGCCAATTTTATTACGTAAATATAATTAGAATTTTATTTTAAATTTCCTTTTATCTTTATTTACGGCTTCTTCTTCTCCTTCTCCTTTCAACACGCTTCATCCGTTGCTCTTGGTCTTCCCTATACCTGCGAGGGACAACCAATTTTTTCTATTTTTTTCTTCTNGCAATATTTTTCTTTAAAAATATATATTTTTTAAAAGGTTTTTATGATATTTAAGTAAAGGAAACCTTACTTTTTTAAACATAATTAATTAAATGTTCCATTTTATTAAATGAACTTAATTTAATAATTTTTAACGTGATTTTTAACATGGAGTTTGATGATGCGATAGATAATTTTAAACAAAGCATTTTCTCTTCCTTTTCTCTAATCGTTTAACTCCTCTGCTTCGACGGTTTCCTTGAAATTAATCCGTAAAAATGATGTTTAAATGGTAATTAATGAAAAACTCGATGCTCCGATGGAAAAATTTAATTATCGCTTCTTTTTCCTCTTCTTCTTCTCTAGTAATTTTAAGCATCATTTCCTCTTCTTCTTCTTCTGTGATGATTTAATTGCAGCTTATTTACAGAAAGTAATATTTAAACGGTAATTAGTGAGCAGCTTGGTGCTCCAATCGAAGATTTTAAGCATCCTTTTCTCTTTCTCCTTTTTCTCTCTTCTCCTGATTTTAAGCATCCTTTCTTTCTCCTCTTCCTCTTCTCTGATGGTGCAGTTTCTGTTATTTCATTAAAAATGGTGTTTAAATGGTAATTATCGAATAATTCGACGCATTATTCTTCTCTTCCTCTTTATCTTCTCGGGTATTTTAAATAATTCGGTAATTAATTTATGATATTTCTTTCTGTGCGTTAAAATATAGGCTAACGAGAATTTAAAATACAAGTTTGTGTGATTCTTGGAGTATTTTCTCCAGAATTTGATTGTAAAGTAGGTGTGTGCTGTATAAAAATGATGAAATTCGAAGAGATGATGTCAATGAATGATTGATGTTAACATTCGTTCGTTACTTTCTAAATTTAAATTAGATTGATGATCGCCTGATGAATATTTCATCACTTATGTTCTCTCTTTATTAAATTAGAAGGAAGGATTTCGTTTTCCTTTAATAATTCTATAGAAATTTATTTTTAAATGTCCAAATTGTTCGTCCTTATCATCAATGAAGTTCGAAATTTGCTGATCGATCGGCCGATGAAGTTAGAAATCTTCCTCGTTGGAAGGTCGAAAAAGAAACTTTTTATGTTAATTATTGAATTATTTGTCGTCTTCGTCATCACTTTCGAGTATTAACAGCGTATTAATCGCGTGATAACGATGATAAAGGCAATAATTCACTCGTTATACACGGATGGCGATGAGGAAGATGACGCGATTCGTGTAGAATGAGTGTTAATCCGATAAACATAACAATTTATCCTACATAAATCGCATTTATTAAAGAAGAAATCGATATTAATATTTAAAAAATATCATATCATCATCATCATCATCATCGTGTATCAGCAGTCGATTCCGTAGTAGGGCCACCGGCTGATTGATGAGAATGACGACGATAGCGAGTGAATTATCCCGCACCAGTCACGTTTATACGAAGCTAGAAGATGGCAATTGATTTACGATGATGATGAATTATTCATCCAAAAAAATCATCACAAATCAGCTGAGTATAAAATTCTGCCATCAGCTGACTGACGACGATAGAAGATACTTTACCATCTTTTATATAAGCCGCTCTACTTTAATTATTAACAAATTAAAATTAATTATTTTTAAAAATAGATTTATCGTCATCGCCTCTAACTACTCCTTTAACACTTTACAATAATAATTAATTAATTATAAAGTATTTAAATTTGTTTCTAAAGGCGAGAAGATAAAATCTTCCATCGTTCTCGATGACTCTTAAAATTTTTCAAATTTAAACGGGAATAAATAAATACTAATTAATAGAGACGATTTTTATCATCCTTAAAAACAATAACAAATACAAAAAGTAGGCATTTTCCTATTTAAAATTGACAAAATAAGCCATAATATATAATAGAATCGAGGAGGAAGGATGCGGTAAGAGGATGCCGGATTAATTTGTAGCAATATAACTCAATTAAGTAATAAAGTAATAAAAATGATGTATACTAAAGAACATTATTTAATTATATTTTTATTTTGAAACGTCGATGAATGTCCCCCTTTTTTTTTCTTTAGTGTTTAAATCCACGAGGAACGATTTGATTCCCTGGAGAATCTTTGCAGAAAGTTCAATTCTGTCTCGTTTGTAGGAAATCACCTAAAAAAACAATCCATTGTTTTCGTCTTTCTGGATAAATGTACTTGCTTTTTTTGTTGTTGTTTGTGACACCAATTTACTCGGAACATTCGAAAAAAATACAGAAAAAACTTTATCTTTTTAAACTCTGCTCTCTCCTTTTATTATATGAAGTCACATAAATAAATATTTTTTTCTTTCTTTTTTACTGTTTAAATCCTTAATTTTTACTTGTTTTATTGTCTGCGGTTCGAAATTTTCTGGAATTTTTGATAGAAAAGAATAAAGTATTCGAAACTATAAAATGTAGAATTTGTTTTTCCTTCTTCCTTCTATTGACTTATGTAGAAATTTCTATAAAATTTTTATTCTTATCCGCAAGAATCTTTGGAATATTTTACAATTTATCCAGATTTTGGGTTATAAAAAGAGAAAAATGTCCGAATTTTTACATTTTAAAAAAGCCAGTTTTGTGTTAAAACTTCTGGAGAATTCTACAATTTTCCTAAAGAAAGTCTTGAAAAAAGTCACCAAATTTTAATTATTTCGGAGTTAAAGAATGACTTAAACCTTATAAAGTGGGTGGGCCTTATACTTAGTAATGTTAGTCACTGGCTACACCCTTAGTAGAGAACGTAACCCGTATAAACGGACAGTATTTTACACCGGGTTACACTCGTACTATCGGACTTTGTAGTGTTGTATACTGTTAATTACTGCTTTATATTTTAATGCAGTTTACTTTATTGATTTTTATCTTAATTAAGATTACTTTTATTTATTCATTTATTTAAATAACAAAATTAAACATCAATTTTCTGTTTATAAATAAATAAATAAATAAATTATGCAAATATTTTTATGAAACTTCCGACCAACTTATTTCCAGTCGACTTTCTTCTAATTTTAAATAATTACAAGAAGTAATTATCTATTATTTGTTTAAATACAAATAATAGATAATTAATATAATATAAACTAACGTGTATAGGGATGAGACTTCCTTCCATTCTTTCCATTATATAAAATACCACCGCCTATATCTTATTTACAAATCAATACCACACCTTATTAGCGTGTCTTTTTTATTAACACCCGATTGGCACATCCTTTTTAGGGCCTTAAAATAAACTGTAAAGTTGTAAATATTATTATTAAGAATAAAAAACTGTGTAATTATTTAATTGTTAATTTTAAAAAAATATGCATATTAAGGTTTAAACTTAATTAAATAATGTAGAAACTTTATTAACTTTAAGAAATGCGTTTTTAAAGATTTAATTATGTTTATCTTATTAATAATTTGGGGAAATTTATAGGTAATATAAGGGAAATTTACGAGGAAAATATCAAGAAAATAAAGCATAAAATGAATTAAGTTTCTACCACGTTTAATTAAGTTTAAAGCCTTAAAAAAAACCATAAGAATAGGGAATTCTTAGAGGGGATTTTTTTAAGTTTACGGTTTACTGCGGGGGAGGAGGAAGGAAGAAAAATAAGGAGGAATAATTAGTAAAGGATAAGAAAATATATTTATAAAGTAAGAGAAAATGACTAATTAATCGACGTATCAAAATTGGAATATATTCAGAATGTTAAATGAGAATTTGTCGTCGAAAGTTTGCAAACATGACTAATTCAATTGGCAAGGTAATCAACAAACCAAATCCAACATCCAACTTAACTTTCATTGGGAAACT